CGTGAAGTTCAAAGATGTCACTACCGAAACAATGCATGTTTTAGTACATTGTCTGAGACTGAGTTTAACTACACCCCTACATTTATGATCAGAAAATATTCATATTTCACTCTCTCTCATAGCAACATGGTGAGTAGATTGGTCTCATCTTTTATGAGGTAAATGTGTTAAAAAATCTGAAAATCTGTGTGTAACTTTAAAGAACATCACTACCAAACACATTTTTTTCTGCAATTAAGTCCTTTTTTGGGTGTTATTCCATAACATTTAGTTTGTATTTGTGTTCAACTATTCAGAACTGTGCTAGCTAACCATGTGCTGATTAGCATCTTTGAGCTAGGCTCAAAAGTATCTCAAATCTACCGTAACAGTCATGACCGAAACATGTCATCATGGTTTCGGTAGTGACAAAACTGAACACATAATTCTTTCATTTGGGGGAAATAAGCAATATTTTAGTACAGCTATGCAAATGTTTAGTATTTTAGTATGTTTTAGTAGTGTTTTAGTATGCGAGTTAAAATTCTGTAATGTGATGTGGTCACTACCAAAACATTACTGTCACTACCCAAAATGTGCAGTCACGACCGAATCATGGGATGTTTTGTCAAAAATAAAATATATTGAGTTATCAACTAAAATGTTATGAGAGTGTTTAGTTCAAGATATATTCAAACTAATGAATCCTTAACTTTGAAATCAGTATGATTATCTTTATGCCTTGTACAACGAAAGATTGGATTCAAAATACAGCAAATCTCAAAAATTACATTTGAAATATTATTAAAATTGTAATTGTTATTGATTTACCTGTGAATTTTTTTTTATAAAATAGCAAAAAATATATTTACAAGGTAGATGTAATCAAAATCTTAACAGGTCAATATAACCCTTCTTAATAAATTATATATTATTGTGTTTCGGTAGTGACAAATTTGGGGAGAGGAAAAATATTCCAAAACTTTCTGAAAATACAATATGAGAATTAACTGCACGATTACTATAAATGTGTACCTTGTATATTATACAATTTGCATACATACAAAATTTGTGGAAAAAAATATTTTTTTTTTTCCAAGATGTTTCCAACTCTGACTTTGAACCAATTCTGTAGAATGGGTTCAGTTTGTTTTTTCTTTTAAGAAATGAATACTTATATTAAGCAAGTACAAAAGTGAGGCAGTTATAATATCACCAAAGATTTATATTTCAAATAAATGCTGTTCTTTTGAACTTCCTATGATCAAAGAATCCTGAAAGAAAAAAAAAAAAAAAAAAAACTTTAACCCTTCTTAATAAATTATATATTATTGTGTTTCGGTAGTGACAAATTTGGGGAGAGGAAAAATATTCCAAAACTTTCTGAAAATACAATATGAGAATTAACTGCACAATTACTATAAATGTGTACCTTGTATATTATACAATTTGCATACATACAAAATTTGTGGAAAAAAATAATTTTTTTTTTCCAAGATGTTTCCAACTCTGACTTTGAACCAATTCTGTAGAATGGGTTCAGTTTGTTTTTTCTTTTAAGAAATGAATACTTATATTAAGCAAGTACAAAAGTGAGGCAGTTATAATATCACCAAAGATTTATATTTCAAATAAATGCTGTTCTTTTGAACTTCCTATGATCAAAGAATCCTGAAAGAAAAGAAAAAAAAAAAAAAACTTTTTCCACAATAAGAATAAGCTGCACAACTGCCACTTAATATTTTTATGTTAAGTAGTTATTAATATTATAGTTTCTTGAGCACCAAATCAGCATATTAGAATGATTTCTGAAGGATCATGTGATACTGAAGAGTAAGCTGTTCAGCTTTGCCATTACAGGAATAAATCACATTTTAAAATGAAAATGAAAATGGTTATTTTCAATTGGAATAATATTTAACAGTATTACTGTATTTTTGATCAAATAAATGCAGCCTTGTTGAGCATGTTTCTTTCAAAAACATTTAAAAAAAAATCTTACTGACCCCAAACTTTTGAAAGGCTGTGTGTATGTGTTTGCGCACTTTTAATAATGTATAATCAATATTTCTCAATATCTGTCAGAATTAATGATAGATAGGGTAATAAAAATATAAATCAAATGATCATAAAGACTAAATGTGTGAGTAAAGTTTGTGTTTATTTTCAGTATCAGCACATGAAATTAAAAAAGGTGTTTTGAATGTATTTCATGTATTGCTGTGTTTTTAAAAAGTGTTTTTTATTTTATTTTATTTTTTCATTTTAAGAACTGTGAGGTGTTTGTGGATGTGTTTGTGAGCTTTTTCACACACACACACACTCAGGAGGAGCGTCTGGCAGATGAAAGTGAGCACAGAGATACAGTTACACCCAGAGTGTGATGCACCCATTACGGTCAATTTACAGAAACCTGGTTCACAGTGAACCCTCTCAGACTCATCGTGCCACAGCAGCTCTCAAATATCCCTTTCAAATTATACTATTTCAGCTCATTTGCTGAGCCACTGATGGGAGGGCCACTGGGTGGGGTTTTCAAGGTCCTTATGCCACCAGCCCTCCTGCTCGTCCCTCAGGACCCGCAAAGAGAGGCCATTTCTCATGCTTAAAAGGGGAAATGCATTTGGGAGGGGTTCTGGGGGGACGAGGTCGGCCTCCCTTCATCTTCCCTCCTGCTGACAGAGGGATTAATGTGCAGTGATGTCGCAGGGAGACCAGCATGAATTAGGGATGAGGAGCAGAGAGCATAGGCTACCCCCTGTGACTACAGAGGGATCATTTCTGAGAGCAAAAACATGTTGCAGCCTTATTACATATACAGATTGTGTTCTCCGAGTATGACATTTACATATGTAACATGGAAAGTGCTGGCCAGCAGTCCAGAGGAAACAGTGTGCCCACTTACCCTGCTTTTACTCTCCCTCTCTCTCACCCTGGTTTTCATCTGTGTATTAAGGCTGTGACACACCAAACCGACAACAACAAAGAACTAGTGGCGAAGAAAGCTGTGTTGCTGCCTCACTTTGCGTTCTTCAGGTCTAAAACTTTGCACTGCAAAGACTTCCAAGTAGCACATACGTTTTGCGCCTATATGTGAGAGAAAATAACTGTCTATATCTGCAAGTGACAGTAGTCTATATTCGTTTATTAAAAAAAAAGAAACCGGAACTAGGACTGCGAATTAACAAACTGTAAACAAAGCAGCACTTGCTTACCATTTTGAATATGAATCATGTTGATCACTTTCTTTATTCAAGATGCCCATGTTGTTATAAAAGTAAAAACGTGTATAGACCTTAGTCAGGGGATGTCCATATTTAATTTTTGGAGAGAAATGAATACAAGGCTGTGAGAAATAGAAGTACAGTGCGTTAAATAGATTGTACAGTTTTAAAATACCAATTATTCAGTTTTAAAAGCTCTAAATTGTGAAAGTCATGTGATCTAGGACCTTTATACAGTACATGCCATTGTAAAGACTAAGTTTATCCCTCACAGCCTCTTTTTCATCCGTGTTAAATTCAATATGGCGTCTAAACCAAATTATGGCGTCAATATGCTTAGTTATGATAACCTAAAATTAGTAATTTTAGTAATTGCTCACTTTCATCACTTTCGCTTTTCTTCTTGTGCAGAGGTGAAGCTGAACAGCCAATCAGAGTGATCTGTCTCACCAACAGCCCAACACTGATTTAACTTGCTCAGTCGGCCCAAAAGCCATCGACGGGGTCCAACTAGTTCCGACGGTGGGGAACACCTTGAAAACTGAGCTGACAGACATTCTCAGACGCCCGACGATCGGCTCGGTGTGTCACACCCTTTAGAAACTTCCAATAGTCGCATCCTCTTTCTGTCTGTCTTACAGAGACACCTTCATTACTTCCCCTCGTTTCAGTCCTCTCAAATCAATACCAACCTCAGACTTGTAACTTTTCCATCTCTCATTTTTTATTCCTGTTGCCCTTCCTTTCTCAATCCCACTTCATCTGCACTCCACCTGAAATGTCATGTCAGCCCAAGAAGACATGGTCTCGCTCTCAGTCGGCAGCGCTTCATGTCTGGGACAGGATTGGTGACAGTGTCGGTGTAGGAGAGCGGTGCTCCATTCTCAGGGGCTTCCCTCTGAAAAGGGCTTCTTAGCCCAGATTACAGCAGCTCTGCTCCACACCTAGCATGTTCACTGTTATCTCCAGCTCAATACTTTGATTCCATCGGGAGTTAGTCTGGAGGCACCTACAGAGAAATAGGATGAGAGAGAATTCAATGAGACCATCGGAATCCGCCAAGATGGGACCAGTTTAAGAAACTCTGAGGAGTTTATATAGTTATTTCATTTAGCTGTTTGAATCATGGCATGAAGTCTCTCTGTAAAAAATATAAAAGCATTTGCAGTACCAAAAGGGTGAGTTAATAAAGTAAGATTTGTTTAGGTTTGTGATTCCAATTTGCAAAATTTGAAATATCCTTGCTGAGCAGACAGGGAGGGACAAGTTACATCTACTGGACACACAAAATGCTAAAATGACACTGTGTATAGACTGGCATTTGATACAATTGAGAGTAATTAACACAAGCATGCACACACACACACACAAGCTCATTATGTTTTTTTTTTATATAGTTGTAAGGCTGTTTTATGTATTTGTTAATGTTTAAAGTCTATGTGTAATGTAATTTGTTAATACCTGTGTTTCAAATTCCTTTAATTCCTGTGAGCTAAAATGCTTAAAATTAAATGGTGGCAATAAATATTGTGAACAAGTCAACTGATTATCACAAATGTATTACATAAAACAATAATTTACACCGTTCATGAAAGTAATTTGATAAATGTGAAAATATTAAAAAGACTCTCAAACAAAAATGTTTACTCCCAAGTCTCCCTTATCAGATACATGCATTTATTTGATAAAAAAATGCAGTAAAACACTAATATGAAATACTGAATCTGTAGTGTGAAGTATGCTTTAATATGGTTTAAAATGTAATTTATTCCTGTGATGGCAAAGCTGAATTTTCAGCCATTACTCCTGGCTCGGGTACATTGGTCCTGCAGTTGCCGAGCAACGTGAATGTAGCGGACAGACGGTGGCACAGACTGGACGTGAGGAGCAACAGCAAAGTAAGTGTTCACCGTTAGCAGGCGACTAACTGCTGAGCCCAATCGAGCGGAGGCCTCTCTCTCCCTGCCAGCTTCCTCCAATAATACACCTCAGCACTTTTGTACAAGTCAAAGTCTTACTTATCTCTTCTGAATTCATCTTCACAGTCTGAAAGGGACAGTGGAGCTGTGGTCGCCGCTGTTAACCAGGGTTTACTTGATCCCAGACATTGTTTAGTGTGCTAATTTGTATTCAGTGTTGCCAGGGCTGTTTCAGATTCAGTGGCTTCTCGGTTGCTGCTAGGCTCTGTAGTAGCGCTGGCATGTAGTCTTGCTGTGGTGCAATTTGCCTTAGGGTCAGCCTGAAATTGCTTGAAATTATAATGCTTATTGTTCATTACAAACAGGATGCAAACGTCCTGCTGGGTGCGAAAGGAACATTGCAGGTTGGAGCTTTTAGCATCTTGACATGCTATGTGTTTATTATTACCACGCCTGAGGGTTTAGCCTCTGCAGAGAGTGGAGAAAGAGGCTGAAGTGTGTGGAAACACATCAGCTTTTTTTGTTTGTTGCTTCTTCCAGCATTGAAGATTTCAGAGAGAAAGAGGTCTTGACTTATGTGTCTGTATAAGCAGACAATTAAGGCTGGAATACGCTACATGGCTTTTGCCCAGATTTTTGCCCCGATTTACTGAAAGTCAGAACCAGTCTACAGATTTTGGTCTGTCGTAGTTAACAGATTTCACAGAAAATCACGTAGTGTATGATGGGCACAGACTGATTTTTTAGCTTCAGGATATCAAACGTTTGTTGTTTTGAGCCGATTTTATAATGCATATTGTTTTCATTTATAATGCATGGCGCACATTTCTGTGTGAGTTTGTTTGGTTCAGAATGACTTTAATGTCTGATAGTGTCTTTGAGGTGCATTGATGGGATGGGAAATTAAAATGCTGTCATCATTTACTCACCCTCATGTCATTCCAAACCCATAAGACATTCATCTTCAAAACACAAATAAAGAGTTTTTTAATGAAACCTGAGATTTTTGTCCCTCCATTGGAAGTCCATTCCACCAAAACTTTATGCTTTAAAAAATTCATAAAGACATGGTCAAATTAATCCATATTAATCAAGCAGTTTAATCCAAGTCTTCTGAAGAGACATGGTTGCTTTATATGATGAACAGATTTAATTTAGGATTTTATTCACATATAAACATTGATCAACATACAGAACATATCAAATATGCTCAATGGTAACTCAACCGTATGTATGACAACAAACCTCATTGGTTCTCACATCAAGCAAGCACATTTGAGTTTCAGAAGACTTGGGTTAGAAGTTTGGAACAATATGAGGATGAGTAAATGATGACAGCATTTTCATTTTGAGTGAATTATCATTGTATCCATGTTCTATGGTATGTCTGCATATGTCTGTCCGTGTATGTGTGTATAACAAGCCTCATCTTTGTATGGGGTCTCAGACCCAGGGACAAAGTTTGAAATATGTACCTAACGTTGAAGTATCTGGCTAATACTTAGGACATTTTTGAAAATGTTACATTATTTCTGTTTGCAATCTCAGAGACCCCAAAAACATGAATAAATCCAATAAATTTTTACATTCTACATTTTGCAGTACACACTGTACCTCTTCTGCCAATTGATTTCTTTTATTCTATTTTTCAACAGTGTTTTTGCTGAAGTCAAATTTAACGTTTCTTCTTCAGGAAGTTCGTTTTACACTTGACCGCTGCGCAGGAGCCACTATCATGGAGATGGAGGGAGTGGGCAGCTGGCTAACTACTGAAGACCACACTTCCTGTGAAGTTACTGGCGTCACACCGAACATGGACAAGTAAATCACTTCCTTTATTTCTCTTTACGCACCAATGCATAATTGTTTGAAGTGTTAAAAATTTGACCCTGATGAATCATTAAAGTTTGAGTTCTAAACAAATCATTCTTCCACCATGATAGCAGGACACAGTGGACGAGTCAATGAAACAATCATTACCCTCCTCTTTCTCCCTCTACATATGGGACCCATGCCAATTATGGACTCGCTTATGTCTTGAAATATGTATAATTACACAAAGGTCTCAATCCAAAAGGTCAAATGAATTATCAGAGTGAATCTCTAGAGGAAAATGACCTCTCCATAGCATACTAGTAACTCATGTGGTAGAGAAGCAAACGTGGCTAGGGTAATGAACTCTTCTGATGTGCTTTCAGGCATCTGAACGTGACACAGGTGCTTCAGCTAGGAGGAGTGAATGAGAACCTGCCCTATATCTACCCACAACTACAACACAAGCACTTTACTGGCTGTATCCGAAACCTCATCGTGGACAGCAAGGTGAGGAAATGCATGCATATCAGTGCAGACAGAGAAAAATATTTGACAACAGTGATAGAGTGAGGGAAGAAGAAAAGATAAAGAAGCTTTATTATGCAAAGTCCTGTAACAGAGATGAGTCTTTTTATTTTTATGTGATCTACAGAATTCATACGAGGCCATGCCTTAATATTATTTTTTATCTATCATCTATCTATCTATCTATCTATCTATCTATTTATTTGTCACAATTATGACTTTGACTGGTGTACGACTGTTTTTCTCTCTGGTTGTTCTTGGTTTGGAGGTGACAAAAGCCTAAGAATTTATCAGTGCTGATAACAGTTGTGCTGCTTAAAATTTTGTGGAAACCATGCTACATTTTTTCAGGATTCTTGATGATGAACAAAGTTCAAAAGAACAGTATTTTTATGCTGTCCCTTTTTAGATGAGCAAAGACAGAAAAAAAACAGTAACACTTTATTTCGATAGTCCACTTTAGACATTCTATTAACAGTAATTAACTTTGCAACTACATGTCAACTAGCAGTTAGTAGAGTATTAGTAGACTGTCTGCTTAATATCTTCTAACACTTTCTTTGTCAACATTCTACTAACCCTAAACCTACCCTAACAGTCTACTCTGAGAGTTAGTAGACATGTAGTTGCAAATTAATGATAATTAGTTGACATGTAGTTGACATGTAGTTACAAAGTTACTTATAGTTAATATAATGTCTAAAGTGGACTATCGAAATAAAGTGTAACCAAAAAAACATGCCATGACTTCTTAGGGTTGCATCCAACCATCAGTTTTGAGTGTTTTTGGAACAAATATACCAGCCATAGATTTTGCTAATACATGTCCCAGCATAGTTCTGTCAGTATATGTACTTTTAACCATTTAGCTGCTGAAGGAGATTTGATTGTAAGCTGTGTCCATAGTCTTATAAGTCGATATGTGATATCATCTCACCCCACGTTATGTCAAGGTTTGTTAACAGTGGGTGACTATTTGTTTCTCATTGTAAAATTATGACTCAGCTGAAGGTTCTTGAGTCTAAAACACTTAACCAGTAGTCGCCAGACACAAAGAAACAGCAGAGAAGTGTTCACTTAGGCTACTGGGGCTTGACTGGAGAGCAGGTCATAGACTGTTAAAAGAGGAAGTACAGAGGAAGAATTGCTATTTTAGACTCTCTTCTGCCCACTCTCTTTTCTCAAACAGTTTACTTACTTACTTTTGCTTTCTCCCTGTTAGTGACCTGTGTGAATTCTGAGTAGGCTTTTTGGTGGCAAATACACAGTGTTATGGGGTGCATGGAAACGTGGTTTTAAGATTTAAGGATATTATGCCATTTACTGAGCCACTTTGGGAGGTACATCCAGGGAACTGCAACACGTTACTTAAAAGGTCACACAGGTTTGCTTGAGCCGTGAATTCATACAAAAAGAAAGTATAATCCTTTACTAAAACCAGACTTAAGGAAAGAATAAACCAAACAACTCTAAACCTTACAGTGGAAAGGCTGACCTTTCAGAGGTGTACACAAAAAAAAACAGCAACCACAGCAAATCAAAATCAAAAAGTGAGACACCATCTGACTACCATCTCTAATGGGTCATTCAGCTCCAACTACAAAAAAGTCAGTCTAGAGCAAGAAAATCAAGTTGCATTTGTCACCGAACAATGATACTAATGGTCACAATGGTCACAAGGAAAGAAAGGTCTTGAAATGGTTTTGCGACAATGACCTGCTGGCTTTACATTGTTCTGCTTATTGCATGACTTCTTACCAAATAAATGAATATGAAATGTAGATATGAGGTGATTATTTTAGCTTTTATTAGAGAGATGGAAATTAGCACAGCTATGTAGGAAACATCGGCTTGAAGTAGTCAGTTAACGTATAGTCTTACCATGGACAACTGTCATTGTCCGCAGTTATGATGAATACTACTAATAACGAATCCTTTGATTGCAAAGTGTCTGTTTTTCGCTGTGTATATGTTGTCTGTTGGTCATGTCATGTATTGAGTGTTTTTGAAAGAATCTCTTAAGCTTACCAAGACTGCCTTTATTTGATCAAAAATGCAGTAAAAACTATAATAGTGTGAAATATTATTACAAATTAAAACAACTGCTTTCTATTGTAATTTATTTTAAAATAATTTATTTCTGTAATGACAAAGCTGAATTTCCAGCAGTGATTATTCCAGTCTTCAATACTGCTTTGCTAAATGAAAGCATTCATTTCTTATTTAATGAAATCTAAAAAAAAAAAAAAAACTTTTGAGTTACTGGTTAGTTGTAGTGTTACAATGGACAACTGTCATTATTCAGAAATATAATACTGCTGAATTTTACTATTCACAGATGGATTTATTGTAAATTGTCTGTATTTTGTGTTCTCTCTGTGTTGTTAATGTTGTCTATTGGTCGTGTAATGTGTGGAAAGTGTTATAGGTTCAATGTTTCCACACTGTGGCTCAGGAGACACTGTATTTTACTTCTTCCTTTGTTAGAAAAGAAAAGACAATAAACCAACCTGTCTAATATAAAAAAAAAAAACTTTTGAGTTACTGGTTAGTTGTAGTGTTACAATGGACAACTGTCATTATTCAGAAATATAATACTGCTGAATTTTACTATTCACAGATGGATTTATTGTAAATTGTCTGTATTTTGTGTTCTCTCTGTGTTGTTAATGTTGTCTATTGGTCGTGTAATGTGTGGAAAGTGTTATAGGTTCAATGTTTCCACACTGTGGCTCAGGAGACACTGTATTTTACTTCTTCCTTTGTTAGAAAAGAAAAGACAATAAACCAACCTGTCTAATATGAAATAATAGTGACAAACAGCAGTCGAGTGGAATTAATGCAGCCCTTTTGCTTATTTAGCTGTGCTGGTAAATCAGCCGTGCTATCTGTCTGTACAAGGTGCAACCGGTTCCCGCACAGGGTCAAACTCATGCTGCAACCACTTCAAAAACATGCCGTTAGGAAGAGTGGGCATGAATAAATGGGAGTCATCAGATGAAAGGAAAACTGATCTAATGTGGTGCGTGGTTGTTCTGTTGTGAAGAGAATTTAAGGCCTCAAGGTTTCCCCATTCTTCTAATACAGAGCGCTGCAGGCCTGCTTTTTTAAGTGGCTGTGGCCTGCCCAGCATGGTAATATTCATTATGGTATGCTGGATTAAAGGTGAATGCACAAATAAGATAAAACGTTCTTTCTCTTTTCATCTCTTATCTTTTCAAGACCTCCCGGTTTGGCCTATCCTGAGCATTATTTCCTGCCTTATTTATATTTCCACAAGCTTATTCTCTCTCTCTCTTTTTTGTATTTCTGTTACTCTCAAGTGTTTTCATGACTTCTGTACCTGTAAGTCTGTAACCCTCACTTTGACTCTCTCTCACTCTCAGTTTTATGACCTCGGTTCACCGGCTGACTCCTCTGGCAGTGCTCCGGGTTGTCTGATGACGGACAATAGTTGTGTGAACATGGGCTTTCCTTCCTGCGGGACCCGGGGGCGCTGCCATGGAGAGTGGGGTTCCTTCAGCTGTCAGTGCATACCTGGGTACAGCGGGTATCAGTGTGAAAAGGGTAATTACACAGCAGTTGTCCCAAAGTTTTCAAGCCACATCTATTTCCACAAGTGGAATGTGAGAGAGACTGAGCCTTCGAAGATAAAGCAGATAAGTCATTGCTAAAGAGAATGGCTGAATGGATGTGAAAACTGTCTGTCTGTGTGTGTGTGTGTGTGTGTGTGTGTGTGAGTGAAAGCTTTTCAGTGGGGCAGTGAATATCTTTGAATTGCTCTGTGTAGGAGGGATAGTGTTAGCAGCCAGGCAGTATTTCACGCACACCGAATCTTGGCACAAATCGCATTCAGAAGTGTTATGACTTTGTAGAGCTTCTTTATGTAACGCAACTGGAACATCCTGTGATATTCTCACAATGTGTTGTTCACTGTTTATGCCTCCTTTTTAAGGACTGCATCTGAAGAACACATTTGTGTGTTTTACAGAGGTCCCTGAGTATTCTTTTGATGGACGGAGTCACATACACTTTCAGCTGGCCTTCACTCTCCCAGCCAGACACACGCAGGTTCAGGTCCTGGTCCGGACACGCAAACACAGCAGCTCTATCCTCAGCCTGCTGTCCAAAGAACAGAATGAATATCTCAAACTGGAGGTTAGTGCTCTTGAAAGCATCTCTCTTTTTCTCTCTCATGCTTTTCATTTCCCTTGAATATAGCAAATGCATTATCAAAGTTTTCTTTCTGATAAAGATTTATTATTATCATGTTCTTTTTGAAAATAATTATTTTCTATATATATATATATATATATAAATAAATACAAAAACCTTACCAATCCCCAAACCTTTTAACGGTAATGTGTATAGATGTGACCAATTTGCAACCTTATTGTACTGTTTTGTTTGTTTGTTTTTAATTATGATTTTGAAAGAAGTCTCATGCTCAACCAGGCTGCATTTATTTGATCAAAAATACATATAATACAAATGTATGTATACAATTTAAATTGTTTTCTATTTTAGTATAGCAAAAGACCTGCCAATTTATTTCTTTTTTTTTTCTTTTGATGATAGACAGCTCAAACTTTTGAACGCAATACATTTTTTTCACATTTCAAGTTGTATAAATTAACATTCATTTATTATGAAAGAACATAAATTAACTTTGAACAATATTATATGTGACCCTGGACCACAAAACCAGTCTTAAGTCACTGGGGTATATTTGTAGCAATAGCCAAAAAAACATTGTATGGGTTAAAATTATCGATTTTTCTTTTATGCCAAAGTATTTTGATTTTTTTTTTGTACCCTCAGATTCCAGATTTCAAATAATTGTATCTCGGCCAAATATTGTCCTGTCCGAACAAACCATACATCAATGGAAAGCTTATTTATTCGGCTTTCAGAAAATTGACTTTTATGACTGGTTTTGTGGTCCAGGTTCACATATTTATACATGAACTTTAACTTATATATAATACCAGAAATATTGAGCACCTTGCCAACACCCTGCCAAGTGATTTTTTTAAATAATTTTTTTTAATGTCTTCTCTGTTTCCCTACAAATTTGTGCCCATGAAATGTCCTTACAACGAATGAGCAATGTCTACCGCCAGCATATAAAGATTATTTGTTCTTGATGTGCTCTGTAATAGCAGCCCATCTGCCAGACCCCACGTACGTTGTTGCATGATCCTTCAGAAATTTTTCTAATGTGCAGATTTGGTGCTCAAGAAATATATATATATATATATATATATATATATATATTATTATTATTATGTACCCTCAGATTCCAGATTTCAAATAATTGTATCTCGGCCAAATATTGTCCTGTCCGAACAAACCATACATCAATGGAAAGCTTATTTATTCGGCTTTCAGAAAATTGACTTTTATGACTGGTTTTGTGGTCCAGGTTCACATATTTATACATGAACTTTAACTTATATATAATACCAGAAATATTGAGCACCTTGCCAACACCCTGCCAAGTGATTTTTTTAAATAATTTTTTTTAATGTCTTCTCTGTTTCCCTACAAATTTGTGCCCATGAAATGTCCTTACAACGAATGAGCAATGTCTACCGCCAGCATATAAAGATTATTTGTTCTTGATGTGCTCTGTAATAGCAGCCCATCTGCCAGACCCCACGTACGTTGTTGCAACAGCGGTGCAATGTGAGAATTTGAATGGAGCAACGAGTTTGTGTTTAATCATAAAGGCATTAGTATGTGTCTCCCGATTCGGCTGATACACTTGCAGAATGCATGCCATCTATCCTCTCACTCCAAGGCTGTCTCATTTTTTTTCTTCTCTCAACACCTGCTTTAAGATGATGCAGTCGGATTGCTGATTGCTGCTTTGTTTCTCTCCCTCTCTCTCCTCTCCTTCTCTCTTTCTCTCCCATGTAAATCGTGGGTGATTTATCTGTGGCATGAATTAGACGTGTCTGTGAGACAGACTAGAAGACATTTTATATCCCCTAAAGTGACAGGCTACAGATTTCATTACCTGCTTATATTATGATTCTTGCGAGGCTTCGCAGCGGTGCAGGAACTGATGCTGCCTTTGTGCTATGTGCGAAAGATTAAAACTTAATCTCCTGCTGTGCTCCTCTCAATTACCTTAGCAATAATGCTAATTGATGTGATGTGCCAATACCCATTTAGCATTGCCTGTTGTGTCTGATTATGACGCATCATCTCTCAGAGACATTTCTAGCAAGGTGTTCTTGTCATCAGCGGATGAGGAGGAAATAATAGTTTGATCATCTAATTTCTTTTCAAGACACTTAGCCACAACTCCATTAGTGGCAGCAGAATATCAATATAGTGTGCGTTTCTCTTTGAATTCTAGGGATTCTGACTCAGAACTAGTTTACTGAGAGATGTATTGAGTTGTTTTCATCTCATAATTTTAGCCATGGCCCAGATGGTTAGGAGCCCAAATGGATGCTGCTTTTAACATATACAGAATGGATTTAAACTTGGTCAATTGTGGTATACAAAGCCAAATGTTAAATCATTAGTGCTTACTTGTGCCGGTATTTGGTAATAAGATATATCACGATAATGAACATGCACGATATTGTTATCGTGGGCCCTTCAAAATACTGTGAATAATTATTTATTACTAATTATTTACATTTTTGAATGCAATTAAATAATACTTTTCCCATCAACTGGCTAAAATGCACAAAACCACTGTATGCTGCGTCAAAGAGGCATGAGCCCAACACGTTGAAAAGTGCTAAATGAAAATGCACATTCACTCTCCGACAGCAGATGGCGCTGATGGAACAGCAGAAATGCAGCCGTTACCCCGGTAACCCTATAAACAAAGCAGCTGCACTACTTTCTGAAACTTATTTAATATCATGCCGCCTGGCCCAGTGAAGTGCCTTTTCCTTTTCCTGAAATCGGTGGAAGCAGACAATGCATTTGTCCTGGTCTTGGAGATTGCCCTACTCCAGGTTTGGGGTGAAGCGCGCGATGCGCTCGCTCAAATTCAGTAGCTCTCCATGGTATCTTTAAGCAGCCCAGATATAAATCCGATGGGGTCTTTTCCATCCTCACTGCCTTCCGGAATATTAATAATACGCAGGTTAGCCCTTCTGGATCTATTCTCAAGATCGTCAATTTGGTCAAGACGAGATCAGTTCTCTGCCTTCAAGAATTCAATTGTCGCTTCCGCGGCGACCAGCCTTTCGAAGTTTTCGCCGACCAATACTTCAGTAGATTCGAGTCGGTGCTGAAACAAGCTGATTGTCTCAAGTAACGTGTCAAGGGAGCCTTTTACCGGCTTGAGGTGCCATGTCCTCTTTTAAACTGGCCCACTGTTTTGCCAGTTCGGAGACTAGCTGACTCGTCGACAAATTATCCGTGTTGTCTTTTTCAGGTGTATCCTTATGCTATCGGTATCGCTAGCCACCATAGCTGCTAATTTATCCGCTAGGGTAGTACCTGGCCGTGTTGCTGATGTGGTACTTTTCTTCTGTTTAGAGTTGCTCATTTCACTTTCTGAACTGTGTGAAGTGTAGTTCTTAGAAGACACTTTAATGTGTTTAAAATGAGTGTGGTTGCGAGGTCCTCATCTCTGCTGCTCTCTCACATCGCCAAACCGGAAGTCCACCTGATGAAATATTTTAGATCTTGACATAAACAGAACAGATAAAAATATATATTCATTGTACAAAATGCCATTAGAGTTTTAAAACTTTATTAATTTACATGATTTTTCCGGGTCTAGTTATAATACATTTAAGATGAGGCTACCAAATATATATTTTTTGGTGGGCTTATGGAATGAGGCAGCAAAGTCCCCTCACTGTGTGTTGGGTTTAAACTACTTTTTTACTCTAATTGAGCTCATATTATGCAATATTCATTGTATTTTCATACTGCTCATTATTTTCTCATCCACATTTTTTTGGAGCCACTGTCTGCCTTTCCTCCTCAGAGAAGACACTTCAGTCCTGCTTCAACACCTGATGTCTCATCTCTTTATAGCATATCACCAAGAAGGATTCATTTAAATGGATAGTTCACTCAAAAATTATAATTCTGTCATTAATTACTCACCCTCATGTTGTTCCAAACCCGTAAGACTTTTGTTCATCTTCAGAACGCAAATCAAGATATTTTTGATGAAATCCGAGAGCTTACTGACCCTCCATAGACAGCAAGGGAACTGCCACATTCAAGGTCCAGAAACATAGTAAGGACATTGTTAAAATAGTCCATGTGACATCAGTGGTTCAACCTTAATTTTATGAAGCTAAGAAAATACTTTTTTGTGCGCAAAGAAAACAAAAAGAATCACTTTACTCAAAAATTATTATAAGTCTCCGCCGCCATTCACGATAGTACCACGATGCATGCATGTGTATTCCTCAGCTTGTAAACAAGGCACAGCGCAAGTGTGTTCTACGTCAGAATGCGGGCTTCTGCATCAGCAGCATCACATGCATGTATCGTGGTACTCTAGTACTCTCAACAAAAAGTATTCTCGTACCTTCATAAAATTAAGGTTGAACCATTGATGTCACTTGGACTATTTTAACAATGTCCTTACTACGTTTCTGGACCTTGAACATGGTTGTTCCGTTGCTGTCTATGAAGGGTCAAAAAGCTCTCGGATTTCATCAAAATATCTTTAATTTGTGTTCTGAAGATGAACAGAGGTCCTACGGGTTTGGAACAATATGAGGGTGAGTAATTAATGACAGAATTATCATTTTTGGGTGAACTATCTCTTTAATGATTGCCAAGATTTTGTCATGACATTGATCGACGATGCCTCATAATATTTGTTTACACAACAAAATATTAAAAGGTGGTAAGAGAACCCAGGCATATACTTTATGAACTTAATATCCAATTATCCATAATTAAATGCCTTTTAATTCTTAAACATGCAACTGGGCAGATGGCTTCACCTGCTGCTCCAGTGGATGACATTGGTTTCTGGATCATTGGGTGGGGATGAGCAGCATGCAGACACCTTTCACACCAACAAGCGATGAGAATGAACATCTGTACTGTCATTTATGCTGTAAATCTTAGGACAGTGGTTCTCAATTCCAGTCCTGGGGTACCACTGCTCTGTGCATTTTGAGAACCACTGTCTTTTTCCATGGAGAGATTAAAGTTAATGTTCTTGTTAATTAGTACGCCTTCAGGTTTAAATACCTACCCAGCGTAGCAAAGCCTTGAAATAGTCAAACAGTCTGGTTTGAGATTATTCTCTTAAACTGTTCTGCAGGTGAAATTGAGTGGGCTATGGGAGAGGAAGAAGGTGCAAAGGTTCACAGAGTCCAACTGTGTTTATTTGTGTAAACTGTTGTTGTTGAAATGTGAGAGAGTCTCACTGCCTGTTGCATCATTGATTAGTCTTGCTTTTTACAACGCCACAAAGCCAGGATCCAAAATGGAGGCTGGAAAATTATGCTCTCTGGGACACATGCAGAAAGACTCTGAAATTAAAATGAAGGATGGGGCTTTCTTCAGGAGATTGGCCAGCTGCTCTTTGTCTCACAAACAAATACAAACCTCATTGTCAAACATGGCATTTTCAACCTTTTTTCCACCAGATATGGAGCTATGGCTAATAACCATGTGCATGTAAAGTAAAACACCAGTTCAATTATTGTTATTAGACTTAAAAATAAGGCAACAACTTTATAGTGGAGGCCTTGTTGGATATTGGATGATTCAAAGCATAAAACTGCAGAGTTTTATACTGTACTTTGATATTACACACTTTTTATCTTACACACCCTCGTAAATAATAAAGCTTGCCTTCGAAAAATTTGATTTATAAGAAACAATCGGTTTAAGAAGAGCTCGCAAAGGGAAAGAGAGAGTAAAAGAAAGTCTCACAGCTGACCACTAGAAAGTCGGAGAAGCAACACAAGAATATAGTGGCAAACCTCACTGACACCATATTGAATTCCCTGCTCCCACTGTCTCCAATTAAAGGCCCAACATGTTTTATTCTGTCAGTGCTCAGTTGTTTTATCAGATCCTGCCCCAGTCTGATGTCTTAAGTCCCCAATGGGTCTACTTTATCCCATACTGAACCTCTCTCTCTACCACCATTTCCATAATTTCACAACTGTTCTTTGTCTGTGCCACTATATATTCTCCAGATTCCTCAGAAAATGTACAAAACCGTAAATTAATTTATTCTGACCGCATTCTCTCTCTCTTTTTTGTCCCACTTTCTCAGATCTATCAGGGTCTGTTAAGTGTCTTCTACAACCTCGGTGATGGGGACTTCAACTTGACAATGCCCTCTTATCGTTTAGACAACGGAGAGTGGCATGACATTCACTTAGATCGGCATGACAATGAGATGACCCTGCGCCTGGACGGCGGGGGAGGACAGCGAGAGGTCACGGGATCGCCAGGTCGCAGTCGGGAGATTGTTATTGATCCTGCTGTGGTGATGCTGGGCAACTCATTCCCCTCAGGACACAACAAGAGCTTCCAAGGTAAGGTGCAGGTATGCTCCTGAAGCTCAGTTGGTAGAGCATGATGCCTACCAGCCAGTGACATAGATATCATCTGAGAATCGTATTCCCAATCCATGTAACTACAGTATATACTGTAATATACACTACCATTCAAAAGAGAAATGATAGGTAATACACAGTAAAAACACCAGGGCTGTCAGAAAATTGAAATGATGTATCACAAATAATCTCTTTTTCTTGTTTTCTTTAAAACAATACAACAGATGCTAAATTACCTCCAGACCTGTCATAACTTGCAAAGGACAAACAAGCTCAGGTGTCTCATTAAAGGAACAAGAAACTGCTTGTTGAGACTGTTTTTCACCTGCTTTATCAATTGTTTTTCATTTAAAAGTGAATGGTTATAACGATAACCTTTTTACGTTACCGCTAATGATAAATTAAAAAGGCATCATATTGCAGTATGAGTGCTGGCAAAAATGGTTAAGAAATGCTATTCTAGTTCTAAATGAATTTTCTAATTTCTGTTTTATCTTGTTATCCTGTGTCTACATAAAAAAATAAAAAAATTAATTAATTGGTTAATAAGCATCATAGTGTGAAAAACATACAACATTATAAATTGTTCTTTCAAAGCAGCACCAAGTATAGCTCCCTGATAAGCAATTCCCAATGCTTAGCGTCTCAGAGTTGATTATCAGTCTGTGCGGTCTGTCCAGAGCTGGTCGCAATAGATATTTTTTTTTTTTGAAAGAAATCTCTTCTGTTCAGCAAGGATGCATTTATTTGATCAAAAATAAAGTAAAACCCATAACTCTACCATTTGAAAGAACAGCTTTCTACTTGAATATATTTTAAAATGTATTTTTCCTGTCATGGTAAACCTTCATTACTCAACCTTCAGAATTCATGCTGATTGCTGAAAAAAAACATTATTTCTTCTTCTTCTTCTTCTTCTTCTTCTTCTTCTTCTCATAGCTGTCATATGTAGTTGAAAATGGTTATGCCACTCGGTAATTGTGTGGAGGTGTTTTCATTTTTCAGTGAACAGAAACATTGAAATGTAAATATGAAATTGAAAATAGAAAGGAGAATCATTTGAAATTATTTAAAATATTTACTAACATTATTCATGTCTTTAATGTCATTTTTTTTTTTATTGCACATTTTTTTTTAAATGTATTACACATGTACAATGCAAGATATATCCTGTGTCTACATAAAAAAATAAAAAAATTAATTAATTGGTTAATAAGCATCATAGTGTGAAAAACATACAACATTATAAATTGTTCTTTCAAAGCAGCACCAAGTATAGCTCCCTGATAAGCAATTCCCAATGCTTAGCGTCTCAGAGTTGATTATCAGTCTGTGCGGTCTGTCCAGAGCTGGTCGCAATAGATGAATTGGTTACAATAAATGAAATGGAGTCAATATGTCAAAGTGTGCATGGAGAGCTGTGGACAACTCCAATAAACACTGTAGCATGACATTTTGAGCTAACAAAAATGCTCTGTCCCATGGCCTGAAAAATCCAATCACTGAGTTATATCAGAGCACTGAGAAGTTTACCGCTAATCCAATTTAACTTCAGTCGGAGAAAGAACTTAGCCAGCACACGTGTACGTCAAGCAGACGAATATGTACAGCTTTATCAGCTAATTCATGCCGCAGTTCCTCTATCTGTCATGATTACACACTATTTTATTGGCAATAATGAAAAATTAATAGGAACAATTAATTCATAATAGCCTCAAATGCACCTTCAGTGTAGAGAGGAAGTACAGCTAGCATAAAAACAGACAGCGGGAGGGAAGGGAGACAATGACGTGACATTAAAGAGAACAGGAGGTGGAATAGTCCTCTGCGCACAGACACGCTGGTTAGCCTCAGGCACACACTTTGTGTGTTTATTAAATGGACTCTAAAAGCACTTTTTCTTAAAAGCTCCGAATATGAGTAGATCATGTTGAGCTCAGTTTATCTATGTGTGCATGTGAAGAAGCAAGTGTAATGTAGGTATAAGAGGAGGACTCACACTTTACGCTATATTTGTACTGAAACATGAAACATGTTGGCTTTGGTTTTGTTTTTCTCATTGTCACAGGCTGTATACGGGACTTGAGACTCAACGGGCGGTTTATTCCTCTGGACGGTCAGGCCAGAGAGGGGGTGTCGGTGGTCAGTTCTCAAGGTGTCTCTCTGGGTTGTTCCTCTGACTCCTGCCGGAAAAACCAATGTAGCCCCCCCTTTACCTGCGTGGACTTGTGGAGAATCCATGAATGCAGGTACACAAATACACACGGTTATGGTCAAAGGTGGTCATTATTTTGCTTAAATAATAGGGATCATACAAAATGCATGGTTTTTTTTAATTTAGAACTGTCCAGAATAAGATATTTTATATAGTTAAATAATAATTGAATTTATTTATTTAAATGAAATATTTAAATGAAGTGAGAAAATTGTACACATCTTCATTCTGTTCAAAAAAGAAACAAGTTAAATAGGTTAGTTTTAATACAAATCTGATCTAATCTGCTCAATGTAAGACACACACGCAGTAGGGTTTTCCACTTAGCCAAGCCTTGTGCACTTTGGCTCTGGGGTGTGTGTCAATACGCCTCAAAGGCAGGTATGATATCTGTGGGCTGCTCTTCCCCCCGGACCTATCCACTGTCCTCTCTGACTGTGAGAGCTGTGCAGCTGCTGTGAGTTACCATGTAAGTGCACTGGTATTACAGTGGTGCACCAACTCGAGATCCAACTCCTCCCACTTTACATATCCCTAAACCTACCCATCTCCACCCACTGGATCCCATTTCCAGCCCTAAACCTACCCATTTCCACCCCCTGGATCAAATTGTCCCAATTACTCTTATACATATTGTTGTTACAAAATGTAGTTTATATATGTCCTGTTACACATTTGTACTTACACAAACCATTCGG